GAGTGTAATATAAGCAAGTGGTAGGCTACAGTCATGGCTCTAAAGCTGACAGTCACTTGAGGCTAATGCCGAGGTGTACGCTTCAAGAAATTTTGCAATATGGTTTCTCTGATTTGCCTAGTTATCCCGCATCAGCTGTGAGATATGAGAGAGGTTTTGTGAGTGAGAGAGTGATAGAGAGAGAAGGAGGCCTGTGACACTCTGCACCGTACCCTAATGAGAGGCAGGGAACCAAAGGAGCTGGGCAATGAGATTAGATGCAACTCAATTCAATTACTGCTGAGCCGCCACGGGTGACGCTTCAAAACTCATCCTGTTAAGATCCGGTTCAAAGACGAAGAAGAGGACTGCAGCTCTCACTCAGCCGATGTATGCTATGTGGCCACAACATCTCATTCGCAACAGCTCTGATTTATAAGCACATGGGGTGTCATTAGACTTGGGATTTGTTAGCAGACTCTGCAATGTTCTGATATAGATTTCAAGCAAAATGCAGAAATAATTGAGTTTTCACCCATTGCAGCTGTTTAAACACTGCTCCACAAACTACAGAGTAATTTTGAGTGTGTGTTTGATATTAAAGAAAAACTTAAACAGCCTGTTTTAGCTTGAACTCTCCACATATAATCAAATTAATGCATTCAGACACAGGCACACCCCCCCCCACGGCCCTGCACTCGCTGTTACCCCACAGCCACTGGCACTCCCACTCTCATCTCAGCTCTCTAAGATAGTTTCTCCAGTGTACATTCACATTACACTTCCTTACTGGGAATGTTAATTGTGCCACCTTAAACTGAAGCCTGTAAGACTGAGGCTGATATGAGTCTTCTGTGAAGACATACGTGAACATCTCTTCACACCGAATACAGAGGAAGGTGTTATGGGTAGCCATAGGTCACAAGGCTTGAAAGGACAATCAACAATACAGACTGCAATGAAAATCAATTGATAGAGTATAATAACGTAACTGTACATATAACTTAATAGCTCAAAAAGTGGTTTTAGTACTCAGTTACTCTAAACATTATGCTGCTGTCCCCTGTGTCCGATGTTGTCATTGCAACTACAGTGGAATTATAAGCACAGGACAGTCACTACTTATAACTTGCATAACATTAACGGCCCACCTGTCTTAACCATGTACTGTACCTGTGCTATTTATCACCTATTACCTTACTTACTTTATGACGATTCAAAATTTTTATTTTACATGCACCTACACAAAATGTGTAGTGAATTGCAGGGTGGCATACTCTTAAAGGGTGGGGTAAGCGATTCTAATCCAATTCTAATTACTTTTGTCAAAGTGAATGTGTCCTCACGGTCCGATAGCTGTCCATCCTGTGTGTGCGCTGAAAATCTATCCAGTGTACACAGCCCTGGCTCTGTAAATGGGATACAAACAAAGAGGCTCGGACCGAGCCACACGACACTATCCCAGCCGTTCCAGCCATGATTTGTGTGTCAGGTAACATTAAATGACTTGTGCATGGAAATTCAACTTATTTTACAGTTTGCCAAGACATGCAGTATTGCTGTCTGGACCTGGTTCTCTCTGCATGTTGACTTCACAGCAGCAGCTGTAGTGACGGTTTGCTAACCCACAACCTAGCGTTAATTACATTACTTGCCATGTCATTGTTTGCTCTATATCATGGTATTTTATCATGGTATTGATTTCTCCAGAATCGCTTACCCCTTTAAGGTGTTTATAGACGAGTGTGCTATGAAATATAATGATTACAAAAAGAATTTGAGAAAAGGAATTGTACAGTTTTGCTCAGTAACTACCAAATCCAGTAACTAAAGTAAGAGCAAGTGATATAATTATGAACAAACATACTGTTTTTACCATTAGTATCAGTTGTATCTTGAGTTAACATATATATGTATATTATATATGTGTACAAATATACACTTTGTACTGTGGCACACTGTATGTTTCTATGTTAACGGTACATAATGTGACTGGTAGCAGCGAGCATTACAGGATGTTAAAACTCTCCCTGTCTCAATGGCATGATTAGCTCTGAGGAGCATGATCAGCAGAAGCCGCTGCATGCTGTGGCTGCATCTGTACAGCCGGGATTTATAGGTGGTGATAAGCAAATCTTGTTGTCTTCCATAATTTATGTAGTTGCAGGTATACATTTTTAGATGTAACACAGCTGTGGAGCTCCTGAAGGCGCAGAGATGAATGGGATTTATTGCTTTTCTCCATGTTGGAAATAAATATCACTGCAAAGCATTTATGGGGGTCTCCAGTGCTGTTTAGGAGGTTGAATCCATTGATTGGCTGAAGATAAAATGGACTCTGGTCCAAGAAAGGTGACCGGCAGGTGTAAATCTATGCAGAGAAGCATGGATTTATGTCAGAATAAGTTGCACTCAAAGGATTTTGTTCATTTTTGATTTTGAAATCTAAATCACTAAAAGATAAACTTTTCAGCTGACTATAGAAAAAAACAGGAGCAAAAGTGATGCATTTCTGGACAGACTACCTCCACCAGATTCCATCTCTTAATTTCCATACAAATGTAAAACTAGGCAGGCATGGAATCTTCTGTGAATCTTAAATGAATCCAATTGTTCCAACACAGTTCAGGGTTTGCCAGAGGCAGGGGGAGATGAGTGCCGCACAAATCAGCAATTTCAAAATAAAAGCCCTGTGTGATTCTAATCTGACTGACAGGACATTGTTTCCCCCTTCCACATAAGAATTAGCATAATTCATGTTCTTCTTGCACCTCAGACCTCAGAAATGGAAATTGGACAGAACACTACAGATACTCGCATATATGAAGCCCAAATCCCTAGAGCATTCCCCTGTGAGCACTTGTATTTCCTTTTGCCTTTTAAAATCTTCAGAGACATGTTATTGTGTCTTTCAAGTAGCACATGAATCAATGATTGCACTGATACTCGAAGCCCTGAAACAAATATCCACACTGTCATGTTAACCCATATGCATGACTTGTCGTACACCCAGTGTGATTAACGTGTTTAAATGGTTCATTGCCATTTTTACCTTTACCAGCCGTATTCTTGACAGTTCCCAAACCATCAGAGACCACTTTGACCCAGTTAATGTGCATGACATCTCTTAATGTAAGAAGCTTTTATTGCTGGGAAGACTGCCATGCTATCCAGCTGGCTTGTGGTTGGTGAGGTTCTGAGCATATGCCTGAGGAAAATGAATAATGCATCCATGTTCTTCAAACCCTCTTTCTGTAACTTTTGCTTTAGGTAAAGAAGATGTGAGGAGGTATAGTACATGAGAGACTGCTGCTTGCTGTGCTCATCTAAAAATGATGATACTTCAGAAAAGCTTCAGATGTTTTCACTTTTTTTCTGGCTTTTGTCCAGGTAAAAATTCCAAGTACATTCAACGATTTTATGCCTTCAGAATACATTACTTTCATATTCTTATTGTCCCTCTGTGTTTCACTTCAGATGTACAAGTGTTGTTACTTTTAACAGCACTGCTACTCAGATGCCACAGAGGGTCTACACATGTACCTCTACATGCACTCAACATATCATCTAAACTCTGTGTTGTGCTACATTTCATTCATAAACTATAGGCTGAACTCATTGGAGATGTTACCTGGTGGCCAAATAACCTTGAGGTCTGGCATTCGGATATCTCCAGGCACTATGCCATTGCTCCTCTCTGGACAGATGACGGGCCGTGCGTCGGTCTCCGCTACTTGCTGTGCTGCACGCCAAAAGATCATCGCAGTGCAGACACACATGGTGCAGCGGCCTGAGAACATTTTGACAAATCAAGAAAAACATCTGCTTGACCGTTCAGATGAAAGGGCATGAAGGGAAATGCAAAAGCAGAGAACTAGAGAGTCACAAAGTGGTTTTTCTAGTTTTCTTGTTGTGGTTGTTGTGTTTTTGGTCTCCATGCTGGCTTTGTTAGCTGTCTGCAGCCGGTTCATAGAGATAAGGTTGTACGGAGAAATGGCTCAGAAGAAAACGAAAAAAAAATATGACAAATGTTTACTTTGCCCACTGCTGTTCAGACTGTGTCAGACAATTTGTACAATACCCAATCACATGCGACGATATTAATCGTCATATAAAATCTATATATGTGTGTGCCAGAATATGCTGTTGCTGCAAGTTTTTTTCTTTTCCCTTTTCTGTATCACTTAACCACATGACGTGCAGTGAAAAATGAATAGAGAAATGGAAAAGAAGCTTATTGTACATAGAGTTTGCAATTGCATTGTCCATGGCTTAATAAAATACCAGCAGTGTGCTTGATTTTCATTAATAACCTTCATGTTCATTCTTGCCCATTGCACACTGGAGAAGAGTTAAGCAATTTTTATTTCAGCTTGTGCTACTTGCAATCTATCCCTCCAGAAATAGGGCTACATTATTCACTCTGTGGTATGTGATTTGACCATAGTGTTTCTGAGCGCTCTGTTAAATGAAAATATTTCACGTGTGAATTAATCATTAGAAGGGCTCATTCTCCATTCTTCTGCTAGCATAATGATCTCTTTCTACCACTAGCCTGGATGAATCTTTCATTGTCTTTATCTTTAAATGAGTTGGCACAATCCTCCAAGGAGACTCAGGGCGCGATGTGTTTCACTGAACTGTCAAAGTTAACATGTGGCAGCGTTAAATGCCATAATTTAATTGATGCCAAGCGCAATAACATCACCCACTGATCTTTTAATAATATGGAGATACGATTTCCGTCCTTTCACTTCATTAGTATATTACCTTCTCAATATGTAAATGTAAATTCAGCACAAAGTCTAGACTCTAGACAATATTTTAGTGGACCTGCACACTTTGGAATGCTATTTTAGATTGTAATGAGATGGCCTTTAACCTTTGGATTCAAGCATCAACGTCTCTAGAATAAATTAGCAGCCACTCAGTTCTTGCATAACTGTTACTTTGTGCCAGTCCCTTTTGTGTCTAATCCTCTGTGTCACTCTCTTTCTCTCTACATCTCTCCCTCTTTCTAGGTTTCTCTATACTGCAGGCCATCATGGAGGCAGCAGTAGCTAACAACTGGCAGGTGACCGCTCGCTCTGTTAGCAGCACAACGGACGCAGCAGAGTTCAAGCGCATCATTGAGGAGATGGACAGGAGGCAGGAGAAGCGCTATGTGATTGACTGTGAGGTGGACAGGATCAACACCATATTAGAACAGGTGAGCCTCAGACTCACTGTATGGCTGTGGATTATATAACCCAACACCTACACTGTCCATTCAAGCACTTTGGTTGCTTCCTGATTTAGTCACATAATTTGCAAAGCAGATTTGATTTACAAAACAGGTATTAAAGGGCCACTCCACCAATGTGACATGTCATGTTGAATGCTACTCAGCCTGTAAAAACGGTTGTGTCATGTCTTCTGTCGCCCTGGAGGAGCTTTGTCATGTCTGAGAAAATGACTCAAATGCAACACAAAATTGCTATGTGTGGTTCTTTAATTTGGGGAATCATTCAGTCCATGATTCAATATATAGAGGAATATATATAGTATACAGTATATATAGAGCAGATAGAGGATGTCGTAAAGATTTTAGTATCCTGTTGGCTAAGGTCTTATATAAACTTTGGTCCTACTGCTTGTTTTGAATGCGAGAAACAAACTAATTTGTTTTTTACTGATACAGGTGGAGTTTGTGTAACCTCAGTAAGGTTTAACAGTGTGTTAAGCTGAATGTGAGGCACAGCAATAATCCTACCTATTTGGGGATTTCATTTTGGCGTTGTTTGGTTGCTACGTTTTTCGTCCGGCTTGTTTGAAAATCAGTGTGTGTTCAAGCTGTCCGATAGCCTGAGGTTGAGAGGTCTGAGCGTGCGCAGCCATTTGGAGAGACCACTGATGATGCATCCTTTTTAATCCTCTTCTAACAACCCCGAAGCCCTCCGATCCTCTATCACGTCCACTGCCTGAGGAGGAAATGAAAGGTCCACCAGTCCTTGTAGTAGGGGAAACACAATTACCATGAATAGATGAGTGGCTATTATGCCATGCATCTCCTCTGTTCGCCTGCCTCGCTCCACCCGACACCCCTCTGCTTGCTGCTGCCTGCTTATAAGGCAATCAGCCCCCGAATTGGATTCTGCTCGTTAACATTCATTTAGATATTGGCTTCTCTCTGCCTCATAATATCCCCTCAACGACTGTTAGTTTCACTTGTTTTTTATGAATCTAATTTGATCCCAGAGTCATAGTTTAAAGCAGAATAGCTTTTAGTATTAATTTGCTGTGTCTAATTTAATTCTTGTGCTGCAAATTTCCGCCCTTTACAATTCAGTGCCTATAACGAAATCTATTTCCTTTTTGTGTTAAGAATATGCATTAGCTTTTAAGAAAAGCTTGGAATATTCATCGCAAATCACATGTGAGGCACATTAATTGCTTTTTTCACCCCTCTTGCAAACAATAATAAGGATGCAGGGCAATAATCAGTTTGATGTTCTCCTGTTTCTGTCTTTGTTCCCATTAATGAATTAGTTCTTTCTCTTCTAGGGGGAGCTCTGTCACTCCCTCCACCTTCAACTATCACCATCATACATTTCTGTCTAAACTTTTTTTTAGCGCAGAAGGGGACAATAAAGCTTTCACACCAGCTAACCTTCAAAGCAGCAGTGTGCTCAATTTTGCCCCTTGTTTCAGTGACAACCTCAGCGTGGGATTTTATTTTTGTTGGAGCTAATTGAAATAATCTGGCTAGCTCTGCCAATATGGATGAGTCAGAGGCATTCAGGGAAGCTGCTAGACACTGCAGCCGCCACCTATTGGCTTATACCATCATACACCAAAACAGTGAAGGACAGTCTCCCAAGAGGGTAATCACACCAAAAATGGCGCCCACTGTCAGCTATGTGGCAACCCGCTACTTCTACCTGCTGTTGTGGTTCTATTAACCAATGACCGTAGACAGACAGTGTTAAATCTCTGGAGGGGCAGGAGTGAGAGTTTGAACCTGTTTGCCAAGGCCAGTCTGTGCGTCGCAATGTCAACATGTCCCTTCAATCCATCAAGGTCACTGATGTTGAGAGAGAATCATGAGGCAGGACAGATCCAGCTAGCTGATTGCTGGGGGAAATGGGAATCATCTCAGTGGCTTAGTTTTATGATTTCAGTCGGAGTAATCGCACCACAGAATTAATGTCTTTATACCAGGCAATGAAGTTCATGGAGTATAGAGTTATCTCCAATAGTGTTGAGCTCCCACTATTTGGTACAATTGTTGCACACAAAGAAAACCCTCTGTGCTTCTCTTCATTAGCGCCACTTTTGATCCAGTCACTACTAATGCTTTGGTCCTGCTGAGCCTTTGTTGCTCTAGTTCACTGCACTGTTTTTCAATGTTTCAGTGATGTTTCTAAATGGTTAAAAGGACATCCAGTGATAATATATTTACTCAAGTACTGCACTCAAGTACAATTTAGAGGTATCACAATGATACTACTTTATACTTCTGTACCACTGCATTTCAGAGGGAAGGATTTCAAGGATTTTATATATATATAATATATTTATAATATATAAATAAGGCCACCATTACAAAACATTCATTCACATGTCCAGTACTAAAGATCTAGCTTAAGCTTATATTTGACTTTCTCTATAGTAACAATACGATATCATTCCAGAGTGATCTATACTAGATGGATGTAGATTTCTGTATAATGAATAATAATAAAAATGCATTCATAGAAAGATATGTTCTCAAATGTTGCTGGTGCCTTATGCATCAATAGATAAATAGAGGAAATAGTATAATAAACACAACAATAAATAAATAGAGAAAATATAATACACAATATAAAAACACAACATGTGACCCCACAATAGATACTTTAGATAGATAGATAGATAGATGTGTGTGTGTGTATATATATATATATGCCATGCATAATAAGAGTCTTTTTTTCCTACCTAAATCTTTTTTGCAAAAAGTGAAATAAAAAGTACATGAAATATAAATAAGTGTACGGAACTTTGATTCGTGCAAAATCACATTTTGCATTTACATTTTTTGCAAACATGTAATCTGTGATATGGTGATAACGTTAGTTTGCTGTCCATGTAGAGTGAACTAGATGTTTGTGCGTTGTTCATACGCTCTGATAATGCTAATCCAACATATCTTTGTACAAGCATCCATCCATTTTGGTTATTTTACATGTGAGATTTCTGTATTTGGGTGTTTCTGTCTTTGCTGTTTCACGCTGCTTTGACGTGGGTGGGGCTCAGCTGAAAAAGGATGACAACACGTACTTCTGCGTACCAATCAGAGTTGCCTGCCCTGTCAAAAACTAAATAAAAACTGCTAAATAATTTATTAATAATAGATGATTCTTATGAAGTTATAAATTTAATGTTAAATATAAATACTTTATTCAAACAGTTTTTTCAGGGGAAAGAATTCGGAATGAGCAAATATTTGGCATTTTTGCTGTACTTAAAGGATCATTATGGAGTTTCCAGCAGCCACTAGCGGTGTGGATTTAAGATTGCTACCAGGCGTGTGCTTGTACGCTGTATGAGCGAGCATAATCCGAAACATTTCATACAGAAATCCTGCAATAAACGCAGGAACACCAGCATGCAGGCTGTGGCTTTTCACTCAGACATGTTCAGGCTCTGTTACTTCAACGTTCCCGGCTCAGAGGCAGATCAACACCGGCTCCATAACGTTACTTCATTCAGCGCAGCCAGCTGCATATCGGCACCATCCTCCTAGAAAAAAGGAGAGTGACAGCGGCTATAGACAGGCAGGGAGACATACAAGGTACTTTTACTGCATTTAGCCAACGCTCGCCTGCTGCTTTCAGTAACTATCTTTACTATCTGTGTATCTTTCACCAGTGGCTCAGCAATGTTAGCACAGCTAAATATATTGGATGATAACAAAACGGGTAGTGAGCTGGACTGAATATTATAACGAGATTGTGTCACTTTATAATAATAAGATAACAGTAAGTAACTTTACTGTAGTGTTAGTGCATGGCTCTTCCTCTGGGTTGTCGCTGTGAAGTTGCAGTATTGCTCCACATTTGCTTTTTACCGTTACATCCTTTCTTGCAGGCTAAATCAACAGTGGTACACAGGATAGTAACATGGGTTGCGGTAGTTGGTGAAGTAAGCGATATAACTTTGCACTGGATAACATTAGCAACTTCTCGTCGTTAGCTGACGAGCTAACGTGACTTTCTCTGTGTTTCTCCAGCTTTACTAATGCTCACTTTGTTCTTACTCGACATCATCTGAACCTGTTTGGTCTGATGGGCTTCAGCACATAAACCTTTATTGTTGTTTTGTATCCTTACGTGGAGCCTGTGTTTTGCTGTGAGCCGGTTGTTTTATGGTGTTAGTGGACTGAATGTCATTAGAAGCCGTGTTGTCGCTGTAGGATGAGAGAGGCTCGGAGGCGCGCACAGGGCTGAATCCGAGCCGGAGTCCCCACATTAAAAGCAGAATAGTGGCTGATGCAAGCAACGGAAAAAACAGGCGTGTGCTTCATTTCTAATTGAGTTTTGAGCCCACTGACAATAAGGCAATGAAAATTTTATTAATTTCATTGATAAACTTACATAAACCATTTTTCGATTCTCAAAATCGTTGCAGTTTGATTTTCTGTCTACTGACTAATCATTTAATAATTGACTAATTGTTTTAGCTCTAATTACAACCTGGACAGCAACTCCTTTACAGGGGCAAAGGCTCATCATGCATACACAAAAACAGTGGATGTACCTCTTCTTCAGTCGTAAACACACTCAGATGAATGTCACTTTTATTAGTTTCATTTATCACTTGACATGATGTAAACACGGTAAGAAAAGTATTTGCATACTGCTGCATCAGGTGCAGTTTTGTTCGCTCGTAGCTGTATAAGTGCAGAATGAGTCTCCCAACAAATTTGTTTTGGGATGCTGAGGAGATGCTACACCCGGGCTATTATCATTTTATGCTGTAACATCCACTCAGGATTTATCGCCCATAGGACTTTTCCATCAATACACTGCACTGCAGATAAATTAACCCAATAGCAATCCGTCTCTTACAACAAAAACGGGAGAGCCTCTGCCAGCTCTGCTCTCTGAATTACATCTAACAAATGTGTTTCATTGAAACATCTAGATTTTAGATATTATATGCTGAGAAGCTTTAAAGAAGGCCAGT